GGGCTTCCAGGTGCCCCCTTTTCTCCTTTTGTATTTCTGAGTCGACCGTATCGACAAAATACGCCCTTAGGTCCAGGGGGTCCATCATTGCCAGGGGGTCCTGGTGGTCCTGGTGGTCCTGGTGGTCCTTGAGGTCCTTTTAAGCGTCGATTGCATTGGCTACTCTTCTTTTGGACGTCAATGGGCCGGTTATCCTTGCTAATAATCGGCTTCTGCTTATTGATGTGATCCCGTGTCACAGAATGACGTCGATTAAGTCGTCCCTAGGAATAAATTTCGTTRTCGGACTGACTCAACAACGCACAGACTGAATGAATTTTTCGAAAAAATTTCAAGATATAGTATACCATTTAAAATATCGAGTCTAATAGTAAGTTTATACCGCGGTCTGTACTGAATAGTAGCGATTACTATTGTATGCTGACAGTTGGGTTCATTTATTTCAAGATTTTATTTAGCTCAAAGAAATACCATTAGAAAAAATATAATACCAAAAATAAAAACAGAAGTTAGTTGTATAAGAAACGTTAATATAAAGTTCACTCATATAAAAAGATATAATGTAGTGTTGTAAATCTAAAATAAATATAAAATAAATAAATAAAATAAATCTATTTTGGAAGGTGCTTTTCTAAAACATTTAACAATTTTCTTTATAAAGTTTCAAGGTATGTACCACTCCCCATGCGTTACATTTACTAGTGCCTAGTCTCTTTCGCGGTAAGTACGAGAGCGCGCTCGGGTGTGCTCGACCTATGTTCATTATTTGATAAACGAAGGAGCGGTAGGATGGAGGGAAGGTCACGATAACGTCACAAATAACAATCATATCTACGTAYATACGTACTTCTTTTTATCTCTATTGTACGCAAACGCATAAAAAAAGTTATGTTTTTATGTTTCTAAAATGCAATTTGAACTGGCTCTTTTAGATATATTCTCATTATAATTTRAATGTTTAATTTACCAGGTCATTATTAATTGTCCGTACTATTCAATATATCACTATTGAATTTAGAAGGCTTACCGGCACCGGCCTATGCCACCAGCCTATGCCACTAGCCCATGTCGGTACAGCAGCCAAGCACACAATCACAATCGTAAGAACCCTCATTGGTCTACAAAGAATAAAGTTTTACAAAATAAACGGCTTATGATCGTATAGCAGTAGAATATGAACAATCCATGGATAGCGCGAAATATCGATTGATCCCGTGATCTATGTAGTGCTCAGTGTCAATTGAGGTATGAAGCCAACTATGTTGTTAGGTGAATCCATCCATCCCGCTAAGAAGCAATGGAACAACAATCTGGCCGAGTACGTTAGTAAGGAGGAGCCGACGAGGCCTGTTCTTCTAAATAACTTTTCTTATACTTTTTTTTCCTGGGAAAGGGATTTCGACAAGCATCGACTGTGGCGACCTTCCAGTCTGAAAAAAAAACTCTCCCTTTGGGTCGCTAAATCACTCGAGTATTTAAAAGATATCTATGATTTTCCTTCCAGCAATGGACATAAAGAGTTTCCTAGGAAAAATATTTTGAACCATCCTGGAATAAAAACATTTATCATATGACCCGTATTTCGGCCCTACGCGCGCTCTYACTGAAACCTTTGGAAAATGGTCACGTGATGGGGTCCGTACGCATTTTCGCGACAGGTCCGTACAAACCCGTATTTTCCCGGCTTGAAGTTTCGCGCGCTATTCTTTATTTTTTTTTACATTAAAAAACGCTGTCATATGATAAAATGCTTATTGACTGAGTTTAGGTCGGGCCGTACGGGAAAATATTTGGCTCTCGGTCATTTGTACGGACCTCGCTGCGCTCGGTCCGTACGGCATAACCTCGAGCCAAATATTTTCCCGTACGGCCCTCCCACTCAGTCAATAAGTACATAGTATTTTAATTCTGCTGGCAACCAGTTGTGGCTTACAGCTGGCTGGGACATAGGAACAGATATATTTTTCCCATGAAACCGTCGGCTCCTCTYGGTTAGTATTCTTAGTTGATAAATGTCGGTAACACGCCATCGCCTCTTTCCTTCGGCTATAAGACCGACTAATAAATCTTGAGATCTAATACTAACCTTAACAGTTTAAAATAGTCTACTTATAATATGTGTACTTAGCAATTCAACTTTGCAGGAACAAACAAAGCAAAGCAAACCGAAAACGGAAGCAGAACGAGATGCCACTGTAAAATTAGTCAGTGACTTACCTGAGTTTAGTGTTTTATCACAACAAAAAACACAATAATTTCTTTGTTGTTGATATTGCAGAGAGGTCCCGTCTGGTCAGCTCAACTAGAAAGAATGACTCTACAATGAAGAAAGCATCGTATTTATGGAGAGATACAGACGTTTTAAAAATAAGTCGCAATGATGGCCAGGTGCCATGTATTACAAGTGTTATACCCCGGTAAAGTAGGGTCGGATATCCAGGCATTTACACAGAAACACATCCGCCCGAGGATAAATTCTAGATACGATGAAAGTGACTATGGAGTGGTCCAGATAACTGGGACACTGTAATACCGTGATGGTACATAAGGATCCGTTACTAATCATGTAAAATAGCTGTGAGTAGCAATCTCCGCGCTGAGAGCGACAGCTCGACTGCTCATTTTTGTAGTTCTTGGCTTCTTTTGTCAGACCGGAAGTCCTCTTTATGACTCTCAACTTGATATCCAGAGAGCATAAATTGTAGAGAGCATTATTTGATCACGTACTGGCGGTGATCATCTCTCATCAGTGAGTCTAGGTATTGGGTCTTTTGTACTTTTTGTGGGCTTTTTGTCTTGCCCTATAACTATATAGTACACCTTTGACCGCCTTCACTATCGCATTGCTATCGCCTATTCACTCTTTTTATGCATCGCCTTATCTGTTCTACCACATTAAATGCTTCAAGGGTTTACAAGCGTGACATAGGTTACCAAAGCTGGACGTACACCGCTTGATTCTTAGATTTTTATTGTGATTTTTTATCAGTCGGGCTACCCGCAGGGGGCCCGACTTTAGTTTTACCTTTTTGTCAATCTATCTATCTGTGTGTCATGTCGCGTTTGGTCAACCGGAAGTTCAAATAATTGTAGGACCTCCGGAAGTTATAACAACATCTCTAATTCGGAGTTCCTGTGTAATTACGTCACCATGACATCATSTATTATATTATGTCATAATCTGGACGTCATTACGTTATCTTCTATGTGCCTACACTGCAGCATATCAAGTCAATGCATTTTGCTTAATTTATATASTAATATTTTGTCTTACTGAGAACCATGTGGGAAGTACTGTTCTTCATGAAACTGATTGAAAATTACGAGCATGCTCAGAGTAGTAAAACTGCAGGCCCCCATTTAAACTAGCCTACGCTGAATTGGGTGGCCTGGTAAAATATTACTTATAAATAAATAAAAACGTCCATCCAATGATACATTGGATTAGTAGGGCACAGGTAGCCCAGAGTTAAATAAGCCATAATAATCAGGTAATCACGTGCACACCTATAATGCGATAAGTTAATTTGTTGATAATATCGATATTTTATGTATCACTATAAATAGGTTTGTCAATGATATTTTCCCCTTTACTGTGTAATTTTTCGCAGTCTTCTCTTTATGCTTTGTATTCAAACCGGTTTTCAAACTTATTGTCCATAAAAAATGTACCAATGTCTTAAGAAAATGATTGTAATTCATGTGAAAAAGCAGAAAAAAAATGTTGCTTCTGAATGTTGCTTCTGAATGTGACGGATTCATCTGACCACCTCAACGTGATCGAAAACCACTCAGAATCTCAAGCAAACAACGTTTACAATTTTTACACGTATTTTGAATAATTGAATTGTAAGGATGTATTTACAATAGTATATTGCAAATTATGGTTCAGGAAAGGTACAAAACACAAAATGCACAATTTAAATTTGATTCCCATACTTACAAAAGTCTCAAAATCAGTCATTGTATACTAAGTTTAATTTAAGTAGAGATGTAGAAAAAAACAAGCACCCTGCAGTGATATTAAATCACAGCAAAATAGTGCCTGTAGTACTCTCAAGATAACCTGGTAGCAGACGATTTTGGAAAATCCTATGCACGTAGGGTATCTCAAGGCAAAATGAGACTGGGTATAATGTCATGCAATGAAACAATGTACATTGATTTATAACAAAAACTGCATGCCTTGCAATAACTTCTTTGGCGGACCTTAAAAAAACGCAATGTAAATGTTGGAAATAAGTTTTTAACTGTCAAGGATATATAACCAAAAGAACCTATTATTAACAGAGTTGCCTTGATTATACAGTCAATATATTTGAACAAAACTGGTAACTTACACGATATATCACCAAGCATTGGTTTGGAATTTTTGTATGCCTTTGTATGCTACTAGGCAAGTTTTATATGACTGTTCAGTGTACCCGGGGGGAGTACTCCCATATATCTACTATACGGGGACGTGCCGCTGGCCAGGGTATGGTTTTTGGCCTTGCTGTCTTAAACAGGGTATACATTTCACCCGAAATTGTCTTAAACAGGCTCTACAATTTAGTAGATAAAAGACCGATATAATTTTTGTGTGTGTCTAGGACAGGGTAATATTTTCATAAGAGATACCGTAGAAATAGTAGAAATACCGTTTCACTGTACCAGGATTAACGTGTTATCAAAAACTTCTTATCGTCTTTGATGGATGTCAGTATAATTGCAATTTTAATTTTTGCTGGGTAGATAGCTATTCCTTATTTTTCCGATTTGTCTTGAACAGGGTATGGATTTTTACTTTTTAGTGTCTTAAACAGGGTCAGGGATTTAGACCACTGGCGGCACGTACCTATCCAAAACGGGGTCGAGTACCCACCCCGGGTCAGTGTAGCACTGTAGCTATTTATTGCAAAGGTCATGGAGAATTCAAGCTTTTTGATTCTCATGCACGAGATTTACTTGGCTTACCATATCTTAAAGGCACTTGTGAGTGTTTTTTTTTAAATTACTGACTGTAAGTACTACATTTATGAACTACTCATTTCAGAATCTATATGTTGGAGCTGACTGTTCAACAATTGGGATGAGCATATTGAATGTCTGAATTGTGCATAGATCATAATATCAAACATTCTGAAGAAATGCATGGCAATAATATAAGGAAGTTGCTTTACATATAATAATAATGAAAACTGCAATTGTAACCAATGACAACATTACACCTCTTAAATGTTAGTATGCTATATTATTTTATAGTTTTCGGTAAGCAAAAATACTGGTATATAAGTAAAGCAAAATGTAATAATGCAATGATTTACTCTAGGCTGTCAAGTTTCTGACAGGGATTGATCGCGATGTTTTTGCTCTTTCTATTGCTTGCCTTCAAGGACACCCATACTGATACATGTACGTCATTTTGTGGGGAACAAAACGACTTGCTGACAAGAGTTAGATACACCCTTCCCATTCTCTGAGTAGCCCGACTTTACGCTCATAGAGCGTCTAGTTCATTTTTTTCCTTGACAAAGAAGCATAATGCGTAAGGTTAAACTACAGCTAATCAAATTGCATTATGCTTCGATGCAATATTGTCCAGGAATGTTGGCTTTTTCCAGAAATTTCAGTCAAACTTGTACGTCTGCGTCTGAGTCCAATGTCTTACGTTGCTGTTGAGAAACGAAATCAGTGTCATTTCAGTCCGACGCAACATTGATCACATKATCAGTTTTGACGTAAATTTAAATTAATAAGATCCAAACGAAAACACAACAACTGCAACAACGCTGTTCTAGAGCTTTTAAGAACTTTGGTAAATATTTTACTTGTGTACTTTGTAACCTGAGATATGCACCTTTATCCTTTGCCAATAAATATATTATTATTATTATCAAGATATTATAAGAGAAACTCAATATGCCGATAACGTTGAGATTGATTAATAGGAAATGTTGTGATTCCAGTTGTAAGCGATGTAGGTTTTGTCATGATCGTCCGGGTGTATGGAGAAGTACTGAAGACTGTTATAGTTACTTGCGTTTCGTCATGCTTCGTGGAAGTAAGCTGTGACACAGAGGCTCTGATCCATCCTCGCAGGATGTCAAAACGTCAGCTACCTATAACAGTCTTTCATCAAGCCTTCTCACACCCGGACAATCACACAAAACCTACATTGATTTAAGGAATAAAAGACGAAATTCCGTGTTTGATACTCTGATCAAAACACGCGGGATGTAGGGAGATCACGAGAGAAGCGTAGGAAACCACGACGCGTAGCGGAGTGGTTTCCAGCTTTTCGAGTGCTCTCCCTACATCCCAAGTGTTTTGATCAGAGTGTCAAACACGGAATTTCGTCTTTTATTTCTTTTCTAAAATTAAAAGAATACGAAAATTGTAAAGAATTCTGACTTTTGATACGATATGAAACGATGAATTCTCCTTACATTGCAGTTGTCTGCAGCTTCTGTAGATTCTAAAACGTTTGATAGCTCTTCTTCTGGGATATCATCCCAGAGGACATCATAAATAGGCATTTCTTCGTTCATTTTTCTTGAAAATGAATGATAACAACAACAAATGCAAATGGCGGGAAAAAAGAAATTTTTGACGCGCGCGAGCGTGTTTTGATACTGTAATCAAACATGGTTTTCGACCAATCACAGCGCGCGTAGTATCCTAAGTATTTTAGAATGTATGATAAAGGTAACAAATATATATTATTGTTCAAAAATTATTGAATACCCATAATGACTCTCGGTCGTGTTTTCGCTGTTCCGAACGTGCAATTTTGTT